CCATAACATATCATATTTTTTTATTAAACAAACATTTAAATTGTGAAAACAATATATCCAATTGTTGATGTATATTTCATTTGAATAGGAAAATAACATTAATATTTGGCTTTGTATTATTTTTAGCAGTAATTGTTTCTAAAAACCTAGGGAAAAACATACTAATACAAGGATATCCAAAATGGTAGCTACTTTAACTTATACCATAAATTAAAATTATACAGTACTTAATTTTATTCATCACGGCACTCTAACTACACAGTTTCTCTGTATCCTAGTTGCAAGCAATGAAGTCCTGCTTTCTTGTGAAAAAGCCGTTATTCTTACTCCACAAAATATGTTCAGTAGTTTCAGCTTACAAGTCCATGGATTAACTCTGACCTGTTATTAACACTGATTGTATCTACGACTACTGCCTAAAAGCAGTAATTCTGGACTCAGGCTCTCACAAATCCATTCTGCTCTCATGTTGAAACACTCATGTTTTTCTTGATAAGCAAATATGAAAGGCTTCAATTTATTTGATGCTCATTTAATCATGAGACTTGCACTTTCCTTGTTTTGCCCAAGTGAGAAACTGCTTTTCATGGCACTGCTCTCTCCTTGGTGTCTCTTCAATATTGCCAATGAGCTGTAATGACAGCTTAAATTGCATGCCTTCAACCTTTCCATCATATTTGTTACTTGCTTTTCATGTAGTGATGATGCTACTTAGGCCACAATGAGAAAAGGTGTTTGAGGTTTTTTTTAAACAGTTCATTAGCTCAAATGAATTAGTAAAATGATTTCTTTCTTGATTTCCTAACCTTTAACTTGATAAAATGAATTTTCCACTATATACTTGACTTATCACTACCTTCAACACAATATTCCATACTAACAAAATACCCCTCCACTCTTTTCTCCAAAGTTTTCCTAGAAAAGAAAGCCAAACTTCTCCGATAGTAAACACATAATATTTCACAAATAATTCACTAGAGACTATAAGAGCTAAACAATCATTTTGTGTGTTCCAGGAAAGAATAGTAACATTGTAAATAACTTTATATCTCATCCAAAAGCAAGCAAGATGATTTATGAAGCAAATAAAAAGAGACCGCTCCAAACCAAAAGAGCTTAAGCTGGAGGCTAAGCAAAGGAGAATAAGGAAAATATATACTCAGATCATGCTGAAATTCAATGAAAATTGTTGTCCTCTCCACTTTAAAATCTCTTCACAAATGGTTCACAAAAATAGTAAATGACAGAAGACAGAGTATCTCTATTTATGAAGAAGGCAAAGGTAATACTCAGGCCAAAGGCTGCACTTATAAGAATCCCAGCTCAGCATGCCAAAAGAAGGCCTTATGGTAGGGTTCAGTTACCTGCAGGTGCTGAAGGCCATTTGAGATACCCTAAAGCATGTAAGAAATCTATATGAGGTCAACAGATAGGACAGAGACTTATTGGAAAGAAGTATCACTCTGTAGTGAAAGCTGGAGACATGAAGGCTATCCCACAGCACTAAAAAAGACAGTAGATGCCTAGATTTAGGCAAATTATTGCCATTAATATCTAAGACATGATTGGGACCTCAAAAAAGAAAGGACACAAAAACTACAGTACCCATTGGCCCAGTGAACTGAATTCAGTAACCAGTCAGTGAGCTAAGGGAAGACTGATAAGACCTCAATCCTTCAAGAGGCTCTTCTGCTTTTTGGGGGGAGGTGGAGAGGACAGGGGACACATTACCTATGAGCATTCAATATAGCTCAGTCATCTGCTCACATTGCATGAATCTTTCTGCATCTATGTATGCACTGTGCAAGATGAATGTCCTTAAAACAACTTAATAAAAGACAATCTTGTCTCTGTTATCTTCATATAATGAAGAACAGTTGTTGACCAGCTACTGTGTTTATTATCTTCTTCCATCCTGTCTTCCACCATGCTCTCAGCCATATCACCCTCTCAGGTGATACCTATTACTCTCAGGTGATATCTATTATAGTGGTTTCTATCATGGTTCCAGGAAACTTGTAATCTCAGTATAAGAAAAGAAACAACCATTCCAGATAACAAATAACTACATACACATAACCAATGACCCAATATAGAAGAATGCAAGAAGATGGCATATTGGTTGCCTTACTATAGTTTAGATTTTTTCAGGTATTGTGGCAATGTTGCTATCTTTTAAGGAAGGATGTAAAGAGGGATAATATATTAATAGGAATAATTGATTATTTGTAGTTTTGCTGTCTTCTATAAAATGGAGCTCACCCTGGAAAACTGGCACATAAGCTCTACAGCAGTAAGAGCATGTTAATGACATCATAGGAGTGCTGAAGTGCAAAAAGTGAGGATCAGAACATATAAATTCCTAAATATCTGATTTTCTATCTCACACATTTTATTCATCTTTATGGCTATCATATCATTGTAGGTTATACTTAGGAAGCCAAAGATATATATGCTATTGCCTTTTAATGTAGAATAGCTCTACACATTCCAATTAAATTATTTTTTTTCTGACCTGAGTGTTTTGATGACCACCAAACATTTTGTAGTTTACAGGAGCATTTTATTCAAGTGAGTGTGTTTAACTGTATAAGCACTCAATCATGAAGTAGTAATCACAGTACTTTATTCTAAATGGTTTATAAAGTAAAAGCTATTATGTTTAACAAGGGAGAAGTGAACAAATCTCTCTTAGTTTGCTATACTGACTAGAATATTATCACCAGCATAGAAGCTATATTTTAGGAAAGTAGTGATCCCCAGATCAATGTGTCCTGAGGAATGTTTAATATTCTAGAAAAAAATGGAATTACTTGTTAGTGAGAAAAAGCACTGCACTAACAATAATCTAAAAGCTGCTACTGAAAACTTCTCTTGAATCTATTCTGGTTTACTGCCTTTTCACAATACCAGTTTAAACCGAGAACTAAAAGAAAGAAGTGAAGCACATCAGAAACTTTGGCTGGTTGGGTGGAATGAGAATAGGAGTTCAGAATGGCTCCATGGAAAGAAACAGAATTTGCAGTTGTGGAGACATACCACAGTTCTCTGGCTACCCTGAAAAACAAAAGTTGCATCTTCTACTGCATGCTGTTCACATGACCAAAAGGGGGCTGGTGAAACCTAGAAGAAAGCAAGCAGTGAGAAGCAAAACAAGGGTTTGAATATCAGGCACTGGGGAAGTGATGAATGAGTAGATTCCTTCTGTTATTTAAGAAGAAAAAGACAGAAGTGTGCGCACCCATCTGTAGTACTGTAAAAGTCAAAAGTAAATAATACCAGAGCTTTGATAATTTGTCTCCTCACATTCTTCTATTAGGCTGGTGAAATAAGTGATACATGTGCTACGAGTTGCAGCAGGCTATGACAAGCTATGTGTAGAACGGTACCACTATTCAATGACCTCCAAAAAGCAGAGGAAAGAATAAACCAGACCAGAACATTAAAATACACATTTGTATTGCACGTAGTATATTAGAATACTTGAAATACTGGTATTACTTGAAGTAAACAAACTTAGCTCAAAGCCTGCTATTATTCTGCCATTATGCTACATTAGAAGAAATCCCTTCCAAAGATTAATCAGCTTAGCTTAACCATACACCATTTAAAACTGCACAGAGCAGAGTATTAGCCATTCACAGAGGATACAAATAACTCAGTGTGTCCTTTTTGCCTGGCAAACACCATATAGTTCAAGGTGGATCTGAAAACTGAGAATGTACCTGAACCAACATTATCTCAATTGTTATTTTCAATAATAAAGTACAGCTAGCACCTCAGCATGCAACCTTCACTTGAGTGGAAGCGGACTGGGACAAAATGCAATGTTCTGAAACCGTTTTTCTGGAAATCATGCACTGTTTGTGACAGGTATTTGGTCTCTGGAGCTACAGTCTTGTTTAAACCTCTACTTTTAAATGCCATCTTCCAAAACCAAAGGGTAACAAGCACAAATTGTATCTATAAAACAGCATCAAAACTTTATTCTCAATAGCTAAGTATTGAAATGCAAGCATACATTATAAATAGAAAAACAGCTGGCTTGGAGCACACTGCAAGCCACTAACACAGTTGAGGGATTTGAATGACATCATAACCCGTGAGAGCATGTTGCTGGCCAGCTGGTGTTATTTATAATATACTCATAATTGAGGAAAAATAAAAAGGCAAAAGTTAGGTATTGCAGAATGAACAAAGTTAAATTCTCTCCTTCCCTGTGTCATTTAAATTGTTATCAAGAGAAATTATGAAGATCACTACAAAAAAGGGGGAAAACCACCTTATAATTACAGCAGTACATTTAGGATAAATGTCAAGGAAGTCCTTGAAACTGGGCTACTTGTGTTACTATATTCATAGTGCTGTAAATTCTAGGAAATGAAATTACTTATCCTGTGTGGTGGCTAAAAGATCACAAAGATATTTTACTCTATTTACAAGTAGTGCTCAACAATTATGTTCTTTTTAGCAAATTACAAACAGCTACTTTAGGGTTAATAGCACAGAGATTTGGAGGTTTTAATTGTTGCTCAGCAGATAGGCGTGCCAAGTTTAATAACGTAAAGATCCGTTAAGAAAAAAGTAGATAACCGACTGCCTGTCTTTCTATACTATATAAATAAAATACCTGTGCCTGTATGCATATCTAAAATGTGTGCATATACACAAAGGTATGCCTATATACAATCAAAACCTTTAAGTATATAAGTTTTTATATATTTGAAATGCAGACACACACACAAACAAATACTAATACACACATAGCTATCTGAAAATTAACCAGAATATATTTTCTTATTTTTCATGGCAGCACAAGCTTTTTTGTCTGCTAACCCCTCAGTCACTAACTCACATTCTTTTAAAGGGAAAAAAATATGCTTCTGTGCTCTAGTTTTAAAATGCAAAGGTATGATGTTATTTGTCACCATGCCCAAAAAAGTCCTTACTCGGTAACTTTGCCAGAAGAGGGAGAGAGAGAGAAGGCAAATGCTCCCCCAGCTGTTTCCTGTCTACAGTGTCTGTGTAATGTAGATAAATGTGAGGATTTTCTCTAAATCCCTCTTCTGTTTGCTAAATCTCACTGTCACTGCTAAAATCAGAGCAGATAGAGCCTGCGCAATGGAATAAAGTCCTCAATATTGAAATGTGACATTGCTCTCAACATCTCACATCTCTCTGGATTTCTTTTTTCTCATCATTACTGCTAACAAATTCATTTCCAGACTTTGCACTTTTAAGAAGCAATGGAAAAAATCAACAGTCTTTCAACACAATTAGTTAAGTGCTGCTTTTGTGATTTCTTGAAGGTAAATCTTTATTACTATTTCAAATCATTTTTTAGTTTTATTTTACTGTGTATTGTCTGTTTCTGGCTTGAAGACTATTATGCACTTTTCAATAATAGTATTTTAGAACTGAGAATTATTTATAAATTGCTGAACATGCAATTTTATGTGATCTGGAAAATGGCTGTATGTAATAGTTGCAATTACATAGATAAATGTAAGGGTAAACTATTGCAGATACATGTCTTAAATTTCACTTCAGAGAACTTTACAATATTTCAGTTATGTCATTATTAAAGTGTCCAATTACACCATTGTCTGTATTGTTAATTAATGCTTCTGAAAAGATGAACTTTTAGCTATTTTCTGCAGGTGCAGGGATTTATCACAAAAAGGTATTATTCACATGTTAAGTTTCTGCAGTTTTATTATACACTATTACAGATAAAATGTTCGTGTTTTCACAGGGAAACTTTTAAGGCATGTTGTCACTGCAGCAATTTTCTGGCAGCACTGTAGCATTTACTTGATTTTTGCTTTCATAAATATAAAGTAAATGTAAAGTTCAGTTTGTTTTCTACATTAGAAACCAGCTGCAACTCTTGCTGACCTTGCATATTTGTATAGCTTAAGCAATTGTACATAAAGAAAATGGAAATTCCCCTACATGTTCATCTCCAAGTTTTCCCTTGTAGGGAGGGCTGTTTCAGGAAAGTTTGCATGTGAAGCTTCATGTTATGACCCTGCAATTTCTACACATTAATATAAACTGTCTTTAAGTAAATTTGGCTTCAGAAGGTGCATTGACCTCTGTTTCTGTCAATTGGCCCTAGTTCAGCTTTCCATTATGAGCAAATTTATATCCTTCAAGAACTTTTTTTCTTTAATATTTTGCAAGGACACTTATGCAGTTGACAGATTTATCCTCTTTTAATTGTTTAGGGCCTGTTTTTTTTAAAAAAACTACACTTAAAGCAAACATCTGATTCCTTAATGTGATTCAAAAGAACAGGTCTGTAATTGCAATGAATGAAACCATTCTCTCAATGTATAAAAGGGCATGCCTTCCAATATTATTGAAAGATGAAGATGATTTTTTTAAAGTATTGAGCAAAGCACTAAGAGACATAGAAGTAATCTGCCAGTTCCTTAGCTGATGTATCCTGCCAAGCTTCCCTGGAATCTAGGGAACATATTGATTTAGTTTAGGAGGTAGCCCAGATGCTTTAATCAAAGTTAACAGTATTTAAACCTTGATCCATTCTAGAGTATATATGCTTTATTTATATAATAATTACTAGTGAATACTGTTATTATATACTAACTACATACTTCTAGTATGGCTTGGTTATCAAGTCCAACCTCTGTGTAGCAAAATGTAATTTTGAATATAACTTTTGGGTTTTTTACTATAGCATATACTATCCATAAAAATGTTGTCCCCTTCAAGATATTTATAATTATTTTAGATGTTCATATATATTATTAAAATGACCAAGCATGTGAAGAATTCATATGCACAACTTGTGGCAACTGACAGTGTGTTAGATGAAGAGGACTTACACAGAAGAACTAAGAAGCAAAAGAAATGTAGAGTGTTCATGTATGACATTCCTCTGTGGTGCCACTCTTCTGGACTATTAAAAGAGGAATGCAGCAAAAGTTGGTTATTTTACTGAAAAAAGAGGAAATTCCAGCTGTGAAAATATGGTCAGTCATTCTATGCAACTAAAAGAAGTGCTTAACCAGGCTCATCCTGAACCTGTATTCAATTTCCAAACGTAATCAGATGCTTCAATAAACCCCACCCACATGCTAATACGTTTTCTTTTAAACTCTCAACTTTCTAGTCAAATTTGGGACACTGCAAGCACCCTGTCTGTTTGTAAAGAACCTGAGGCAATATTGGATTACAACTTTGTATTTTCCTAAGACTATTCCCCTCAGACATAAACGGGACTTTGATTTTATCAACATATTGAATCAACTACTGTTACTTTTAATTAAAATGGAGTAACGTTGAAGTTCTAAACTCTGTTTTGGAATTAGTTTTGATGAAACAGCACTTAATTTAACAAATAATTGATTGAGCCCTGGAAACATGTGAGTCTGTTTTCCTTTCCCCAAAGTTTTTACTTGTCTGAAAGTTCTTGAATGTTTTTAAATTTGGAGATAAAGTTAGAAATTCTCTGTGGTTTGTACTGTGCAGCCTTTTTGGCTCCCACTAAAGGAAAAACAGTAGATAATCTGTTTTGTTGTAGTTCAGTGCTGATATTTATCTGAAAATGCAACCCAGCTGAAAAGTCTTGAAAAATACAAAATTGTTAAATGTCTAAGATTTATGTTTTTTTCTGGCCCAAATGTTATACAAGAACAAATTGTTAAATACATAATGTTCTTGTATTTGTAATGTCTTTCAGCCTTCTGAGGCGGTGTGCTGAACAGCTTCCTGCTTTACCTCCTCAGAACTGGAAACCATCTTAAACTGCAGGTGCATCACATTTATCTTAGGAAATCAAAAATATGGCAAGAGAAAAAAAATTATGCTGTTAAGATATGAAATAATTACAGGAAATAATGCCTCATGTTGTTATCATTCATTTATAACCTGATCTTCTTCCATCTGCCATTGAAGTCATGTCCATGCATTAAAGCTTGTTGTTTTTTGCATGACAAAGTTGGCTAAAGACTTTGTGAATGGGAAAATAATTATTCTTTCTTTTTATGATATATCATGGGATTTAGATTTGTTCATTATTTTCACAGTGGAAATATCAGGAAAAAAAGGGGGATAAATTTTGACTTATTTATAGATTCATCTCTTATTCAGCTTGGAATTAAGTTGAAATAGGGAACTCATCCAGCAAGGTGCTAAGATCACTTGCCAAGAAAACAAGAATTCTTAAAGATTATTGAGTACAGAAGGCTCAATACCCCACTGGATCAGATCCCATATGAGCAGACAATAGACAATTCCATCGATTTTTCAAAAGTCCAGTGAGAAAGTAAGATTAAATGGTCCCTGAAACCCTGAAAGAAACTTTAGGGAAGATTAATCATTTTACTTGAATTATTTCGCACTAGTCCACTAACACAAAGTAGTTTTAAACCACGGTTAACTGCATGTGCAAAAAAGATTTGTAACTTCTTACCTGACTGCAATACTAATGTTAACCTTGAAAGAGAGTGAAATTAAATGCACATTTACACCTTTGGAAACTAGCATTTTTGGCAAGTGATGTAAATGAGTTCAGCATATGCATTAAGAACATTCTTCACTGTCCTGCTACTAAATATAAATAGCTTTTCCTACTATTTAAAAAATAATGCTGTATTCTTGACATGTTGGCTAAGATCTTTGGTTGATATAAATTAATATAAAAGGAAGTGGATAAATGTAATGGTACAAATTTACACCCACTGAGGATTGGCCTTTCTTCAATCCAGGAAATCCAATCAGTCCAGGAAAAAGATAGTCTGTAACCAAACGTAAATGAAAAAAGTATTACCACCTCTGTGTATTCCTTATAGTCAAACCTGACTAAGAGGACATAACGGAGGTCAATGAAAGTATAGCTCCTTGTAAGAATACAAATCCTTAACATTCTGACTACTGCTCCTCTTAATTTCTTGAATGCTTCCAAATGTTAACTTGCTAGTAACAGAAGACTGTAAGAGTCATTGAATGTTGTCCCCTACTATGGAAGATCCTACATCAACTTTTCTGTAATTTTCACAAGCTCTGCCTTGAAACTTCTTGTGTTTTGTCCTGGTATTTCCCATTTTAAGGTCACTGGAAAACCATGAAGCACTAATTATGAACCCGTTTCCTACTGGGCCAAATTTCCTTCCATTCAGTTTGCAGCCACTTATACTTGTACCAGTGCTGCTCTTTAATTTAAATAGCTCTTTGTCATATGCCACCTCCATCTCCCACAGTACATTGGCAGGCAACTGTCATATTTCCTCTTAGCCTGGTTTCAGACAAAACAATTCAAGGCTGTCTAGTCTTTCTTACTCTTATTACTCTGGACTTCCTTTTGTCTGTCTATTGCACTCTTCCATATCCTCCTTTTGCAGGAGCAACCATAAATCATAGTTACTACAAGGTTCTCTAACTACATGTGAATGTAAACCAAAAATATTCACATGAGGAAGTAATCAGTTTACAAAATACAAGGACTGGAATATGTAGACAGTTGCAAAATTACGGTGAGGCATTTCCTGATACGGCATTTATTGTCTAACAAATTATAGTACTTATGCATTCTCAACTCACAAGGGTGCAGGAGTCATTTTCATTAGGAAAGTTTTCATTGGAAATTTTGACACTGCTTTTGCTTCCTTGGCAGGTGAAGATGCACACTGTGTCCTCCATTCATTTCTTCTACCTTGGCCTGTGTTTGCTTACCTTAACCAGTTCGGCTGCTGCTGGCCCAGAAACACTCTGTGGTGCTGAGCTGGTTGATGCTCTTCAGTTCGTGTGTGGAGACAGAGGCTTTTACTTCAGTAAGTTAACCCTTTCTTTCATTCAACTGCTAAACTTTTCCATATAATCCATTGGATTTTGCAACTGCTCTAAGCAAGCTTAGAAATGATCAAACCAGGCTGCTGAGTATGACTAGTATCCTCTGTCTTGGAGATGCCAAAATCTTCAGTGCCCATGAAGTCTCAGGAAAGGATAAAGCTGTGCCTGTGTTCAGCATCTCCAAATTTCTGATAAATTTTCCTTTTCAAACATGTTATTGTTTTAAATCACTTTCCAGCTGCTGCTATTTCACCTGTATATTACTGCTTTCTGTTGACCTGACACTGAAATTAAATGAATGAGAGTACATAATAGACCCAAGATATTAATGAGGCAGAACTGCATGTACCTGTTATGTCAGACTACTTGTAAAGAGTTCAAGTACACATTGTATCATATTAAAAACACACTAAGCTTCAACATCTGGTTTGAAAAAAATAAAAGCTGAAGGGCATCAAGCAGAAAGTTACCACATCCAGCTATCCACAGGCTTTGTCAGTAAAAATACAGGTGAAGGAAAACTCATGCATGGTGAGATAACCAATGGTAAGATTAACACCAGTAAAGACAAAAGATAAAATTAAGTGTCGATGTATTAGTACTCAAATAACTTTTTGGAGCAAGACCTACACTTTAGAAATGAGTATCACAAGATATTCCCTTTGCTGTGTTCTAGATTGTGCAAAGCTGAAGTCATTAGATAAGTAACTATTTTATCTCAGTATCTTCTTACAAGTGCTGTCGAGACCAAGAAATATACAACTTGTAAATAATAGAAATCTATTTCTAATTTTCAACTATTTGCTACTCAAATAACATAAAGTTAATGAATTTTTCATCTAGGAGTATATTAATTCTGAATTCATTAATTAATACATTTATTCAAAACATGCAAGAATTTGTGCTTTTAGAGCCTCTGCTGCTAGTGTTTACTTTTAGTAATAATAATATGTTCTTGTCTGAAGCTACTGCTCCTTAAGGCCTCAGTTACCTTTTCAAACAAGAATCTAACCAAGAAAAGAAAATATGAGGTGGTTAGGCTATAAAGACAAGAAATTAACTGAAGGGGTGTTTTTCTATGTACTTTTATATTCTTTGTGACGTCTCTTTCTTTACTTTTATAATCTTCATTCTATCCTAATAATTCTTGCCTTCTAAGCCATCATTTCTGTTTTTCTGATCTTACTCACTCCATTCCTATTAATTTCTATTCATGGAGTTATTGCTTTCAATGTTTTTCGTCTTGCTTGCAATAAAAATAGAATTACAGAAATCCAGATTCTATTCTGTGATTTACAGAAAATCCTGATTTCCTCAACATACAAGTTGCAGACATTTTCACTATCATCTTTGCACTTTTTATTAAAGTCTACCTTGGAAACTGGGAGCTTTAGTTTCATATAAGCAAATAAATTCACTAAAGAACCCTTTTCTGTATTTAACATTTTAGCTATTGTCAATGAGCATCTATTCCAGGATGGTGTTTACCTTGGTATTTTGGTGCTAAACACAATATTAAAAATACTGGAATCTCTCATAAAGGAAATTACATTTTTCTACCGACTCTCTATATGCTCATTGGGAACACCAAAATCTCTTAGATTTATCAGCAGCTGAGTTACACTTACAGAGCTATTTGGGTGCCCTACAAATCCCTTCTCTTTGTGGCTGGAAGGAATGTAAAGGAAGACTTTCTTCTCCCCATCCTGTTTCTTCACCAGAGAACAATGAGACAGTATACCACTTCCTTAGAATAGCATAGCTTTTTTTTTTACTGTGCATGTATCTTGAGCATTTTCCCAGCCATTCCTCTCCCTGCAAAGTGTCTGCAGCTTGTTCAGAGAATTGTCACACTTGCTTACCACAGGAGTGGCTGTTGCTGTCAAACAATCAGACTCACTATTATGTGTTCTCTTCATGTTACTCAAGGTAAGAGGACATGTGAAATGCTAATCATCAGCAATAACTCTTTTTGTTTTCAATCTCAGTTATTCTAAGGTTGTACAATCTGTTTCAAATCCCTACATTCCCTAAGCTAGATCATCCTTGCTTTAAAATAACAAGATGGGTTTCCAAAGTTTTAAAGAACTTTACCCCTGCAATCTTGAGTTTTATCTGCTGTCAGTAAAGACTTTCTAATTTTCTTCACTGTTTTCTTACAGTCTGAGTTTTCACTTGAAATAATGTAACAATTGACACCATAAAAGTCTGCCTTCTTTTGTGTGGAAGGTTGTGAAAAGTTTTGTTGATGAATGACCACCATCTTTTATGAAAGTCTTGCATTGTTGTAATCAACAGACTGCAATTGCAACAGCCAACAGGAATTTTATGAAGTTGATACGTGGCCCTTGGATGCTGAGTAATGTGTGTCCTCTACCTGACTACTTCTGATTCACGAGACAGATATTTAATTTGTTTTAGCCTTCTCCCTCTTATCTGTCAGTGTTTAATCTAAAATATGGAACTATAGAAAAGTAAGCCCAGTAACACTAGTAAAACAACTTGATATCTTCATATCAAGTGTACTACATAATGCAGCATAATATTGGAAGTTAAAAATGTTGCTACATTTCTTGGGACTTTCTAAGAATGCCACATCATTTGCAGAAAGAAAAATCCAGTGAACTTTTTTCTTTTATTGTGAAGAGGATGTAAATTTAAATTGCATTTTAAACCTTCTATTCTCATACTCTTCATATAAAATATAATCAATGGTAATGTTTGCCTTATACTTGCACAGGAAATAGCTGTGAGGGAAGGTTTTTCTTCCATCATTTTGTATTTCACTAGAGACTCCAAATATAAAGAATACCTTTTGGCTTAGATGGAACTTCTGGTTCAGATTCAAGGTCAAAGCTTCTGATTATTCCTTGGGAGCTGTGGGTGGAAATGAAGATAGAAATAATTGAGTTACTTTCTGCTGAAACTCTGTACACCTCAGCCACAAGGCTATGTTTATGGCTAGGACTGGTAGAGAAAAATTTCCTTTATATACTTTGCCCAACTCCCTAGCTGTAATACAAAATTCTTTACAGCTTCTTAAGAGATGCCTCAGCTCCTTATCACACACAAAGAAAAGTATTGACTTCAAAAGGAAGTCAAATGTGGTTTCTACCACTCCATTTCTTCATGAGGTAGACTGGCAAGGAGCATTTCATAGAGGTTTTTTCAGGGGACAACACTACACAAATCAAAAATAGAACATTTGCTTTTTCTCTTAGTCACATGAAACCTCAGCCAGTACTGGCTGCTTCTTGGACAGCTTTTTCTCTCCCATGATTCACCAGTGAAGAGCTGTTTGTTGCCACCTTTTATCTAGCAACACCTCTCTAGCAGAACTTCTGTAACTCAAGTTCCTGTGTGCTAGCTGAAGTTAGGAGAAGCCAACAAAAAGCCTGGTCACAGCTGCAAAAGTGGCTACACTTAGACACAGATCTTCTCAATTAGTGTTTATCTAGTCTCAAAAACTTTGGATACAACAGTTATGAAGCAAAGTGAGGTGGCTGCTATGTTCATTTGAATTCTAATGCCTGGAAAGGTCTACCATGCCACTGTTGTTACAAAACAATGCTGAGGGCAGAGAATGTCAGAAAAACTGAAAGGACAACTTACAGGAAACTTACAGAAGTGAGAGCCCAGGAAGGGGGATGTTTTACTTGAAATAGTCTAGTCTTCTCACAGGAATTTACTTTGTTCATTAGTTGAAAATAGAAAGATTACTTTTTTTTTTCATACAAGTTGAATTTGATGGACAATCATGCCTTCTTGCTTCCTTGGACACTCTCGACTATTCTGACTTCTAAAACCCAAGTTAGATGGCAATACTTATTTGAAACCATAGCAATAAATTTGATTAATTAGAAAAGACACCGTTTTTACTGTTAAAAAAAAAACTGCTTTGACCTTATGGTGAATCTTCTGAAGCATCACTTGCATAGGAGCTGAATTTAGATACCTGACATAATGGAGTTCCTCTGATATTCTTCAGAGAACAGAGAATGATCTAGCACATGCTTCCATATGTAAAAGAGAAAATCACATAAAAGACAGGCTTTTCTGGTATCCAGCCTAATGCTGGTGTCAACTTCTTTATGGATAATCATTACAGATTTTTTTACTACATTTTTTTCCACTAAGATAATTAGAATTGTGTGTTGTCCTTGGGAATATCCTCAGCTGTGCATAACATAAGACTATTTGTTTAATAATCATCAGAAAAACAGGATAAGACAGTGAACATAATTTTGGGTGATCAGAGCTCTTATCAGATCTCATTACTTTGTAGAAATAAGATATATATGGAGGAATTGCTGCCTTACAAAGAAGAAGATAAGGGGCACAGCAACAGGCCATTATGTTTTGCTTCTTCCATTTCTCTTTAGTTAACAGCTTCTTGTTTACTTCAGGAAGACTGCTTTTAAGATGTTATTAAAGTCTCTAGGCCTGTCAAACCTATCAACTTAATTACAAGAGATGGCATGGCACTCAGTTCTTTAAGTACTCCATACCTGTAGGAGCTATGAGTCATTAGCTCCTCTCTGTGTCCCTGATGGAAAAATATTACAAGCGCAAGAGAGGCATGCTGAAAAGCTGCAGTGGACACACACAGCCTGTGGTGTCAGTGACAGTCTTACAAAGCTTTACAAAAAAATGCTGGTCATCTTGGCTACGTTCACAGAGCAAGATCTGAGAGTGTTTTTAAGTTTGTTGGTCTGGCTGCATGCCCCATTCATGTCCAAATCCTGTATCCATGGAAGATTTGAGTGTATTCCTGGAGTACTTCTTTCAGCTCTGGGACCCACAACGTAAGAAGGATATGAGTTGGAGTGAGTCCAGAGAAGGGCCATGAAGATGATCAGAGAGCTGGAGCACCCCTCCAACTCTGAAGAGTTGACGTTGTTCAGCGTGGAGAAGAGAAGACTCTGGAGGGACCTTAGAGCAGCTTTCCAGTACCTGAAGGGGGCCTACAAGAAATCTTGGA